TAATAATCCAAAATTTCCTTTTTAACAAAACACATAATTTATAATTTTAAACGTTAAGAACATCAAGACACATATATAACATATATGCATGGTTATACCGTCGTTGTACTTTTCCAATCGGCGCTTACAGTTTACAAACCAATATATGTATATATATATATATATATGTGAATATAAGAAAGAACTCATCTTAAAGTCAACTCACGGATTGATTCCACGGAGACTGGTCGTCGATTCCAGACAAGAACGGAAGCTACAAAAAGCGCGTGCTCATCACTCTATATATATATATATATATATATTTATAATGTATCTGTTTATATATACTCCCTTTTTCTATAAGGTCTCGATACCTTTTGCGACAAGACAACAAGACTCTCCAGCTTCTCATACGAACCCTTTTAAATTTTATTTTATTCTTTCTTTATTATTATTGTTATTGTTATTGTTATTCTCTTTTTTTTTTTTTTTTGTGTAAGTTAAATCTTTAGAGAAGAATTGCGATATAGGAGACATTAAAGGTATACGCTGTTCCCAGACGCTGGCGTTAAGTTTCGGATTAAATTTCACACTTATCTTGTGGTTTCGTAAGGGAACTCTCAATTCTATGGATTTTTTCTTTTTAACAAATTTGTGGTCAGACAAACTCAAAGTTATTAAAATATTATTAAAAAAAAAAAATAATTTCAAAGTTAATTTTATTCTAAAGATCTAGGTATATAATTTAAAAGTAAAAAGATCGATATTTCTTCTTTCTTCATTAAAAAACTGCTATAAAAATTGACTGCAGCGATCTCTGTAGAAACGGTTGCGTATTGAGGAACAATTTACTGACAGTTAGTAAAAATAAATATGATGAAACCGTTTCTTGGTATTACAGAGAGAAGATATTATGAAACTCAGTTGGCAAAAGAACAAACTTTATTGACAATTCTTGATAAAGTTAATAATTTATGAAAATATCAATAAATATAAATTTCTCTAATGCTCCATTAATAGAGTAATAATTTTTAAAATTATTAAAATTTAAAAACAATAAGGTTAAATAAAAACTGCAATAAAGGTTGAGAAAAATTGTGCGTTTATTCAACGAAGACGTAGGGCTGTTTTATTTATTATTAATTTATTTAATTTATAATTTGTTAAATATATTAGTAGAGACCAGGCGTCTCATTAAATCGATCGAGACCACCCTGTTTATTAAATTAAAACGCACTTGCTTTTGCCTCGATAATAACTTTATTACTTACTTTAGTTACTTTTTATTTTTTTTATTATTATTTTTTTTTTTTTTTTTTTTTTTTTTTTTTTTTTTTTTTTTTTCCTATTATTCACTTATATCGTTCAATAATTATATTTTAATACTCATTATTATTTTTATTTTAATATATTTAATATCCAATATTTGCTTAATATTTGTTATCTTTTTATTTTTTTATTTATTTACGCCTGTTGCAGATCAATAGTAATAATATTAATAATAATAAAAATAATATTAATTAACTTAATTAGACAAATTAATTATTTTTTATTAGTTCCGAATTATCGATATACGTTATTATTTAGGTTGAGTAATTACATGTCTTTAATATATTTTATTTATACACTTAAAAATTAATTCAATTTGTTATCACCACGCGAATCATATAATAATTTTAATTACATCACTCGCTCATTATTCATTCAACAACATTTTATATTATAATTATAATAAATAAATTGCGCGTAACATTGCTGCTTGCTGCGTTTATTCAATTTTTGTCAAAACAAATATATTTTATGTAAATAATATCAATTGTCGTCATCATCATCATCGATTTTTTTATTTTTATCATTTTATCACTCACATTCATTGCTTTTATTTTAGTCTAATTTTTCATTAAATGATGGTTTTTTTTTAATGTTGTTCCTAACTATTCATAAATATCTACAGGGTTTATATATATATATATATATATATATTTACGTTTTTAATAATTAATTAATTACGATTTGGACTCGAAATTTGGTTTCGGCATTTTTAGAGCTCTGGGAAATCGACCAATTTTTTTTTTTTTAATTTAAGTAAAAACTTAATTTTTTTAATTGTTAATCTGAATTTCTTTTAACTTTAGATGTTGTGTAAATTTTTTATAAACAATTGGCCAATTGTTTGGAAAAAAAATTTAAATTATCAAGTGTAAATCTCCATTTGTCTTGAAGTGATATGATTTTTTTTTTAAATGAATTGTTTCAATTAATAATTAATAAACATGTGTTAGCAATATAATAATAGAAATAAATTATTGCGGCCAGTTTGAAAAGTCAATTGTTTGCAACAAATTCAATTGAGAAAAAAAAAATCAGTCGACTTACTGCCCCAGTATTAAAAGAACAAAATATAAATCTTACAATAATTAAAACATAAAAATTCATCACACATAAATAATCCTTTTTTCTGGTGATGATGATGATGATAATAATAATAATTATAATCTCAACTTGACACTCTTACATAATAATAATAATAATAAATGCAGTGACAATTATAATAATTATTATATTTGTCGAGTGACGTTGAAAAGAAATTATTTTTCGTGTATCACTTGACTCGAGTACGTGCCAAACGAGCCAGTAATAATGACTTGCATGTATTAAACATACGTCGATTATTATCATTGTTACAATTACTATTATTATTATTTTCATTATTATTATTATTATTATTATTATTATTATTATTATTATTATTGTTGTTGTTAGGCCTTTTACACAAAGTACACCAATAATTTTAACCAAATAAATAAACAATACAATATTTTTTTTTATTATTATTACTACTATTAATATTAAGACGATTTACGTATGCACATTATTAATTAATATTTTATTTTTTTTTTTATAACTGGTCTTTTCTTAATTGTATAATTTTTGTCTTGTTTGATGTTTGTTAATATTTATTAATGAATTAATTGTTTGTTTTTTTTTTTTTCATTATTTTTTTTTTTTTTTTTTTTTTTTTTTTTTTTTTTTCCCCCCATTTTTTTTTTCATTATTTTTTTTTTTTTTTTTTTTTTTTTTTTTTTTGGTAATAAGTATAATAAATTCGATAAAACACAATAATCGCACAATTTCTCAACGCTCACATATTGTGCGCATTTCACATATACATTTGTATGTGTATGTGAATTAGAGTGTATCAAAAAATCAAAATTTTTTCATTTTTTTTTTATCTTCAAATTTTGTCAAACTTCCCAACAAAATATCAAGATAATTAAAAGAAAAAAAATTATTTGAATACACCCTAGTGTATATGGCGCGATAATTATAGCAGCACACATTTTTTTATTTTATTTATTAACTAGTTTTTATTACTATGTTCTTCCGGTCATTTTCTACGTCAAAGAGCGGCAAAGTATTTTTTTTATTATTTATTTTAAATTTTTTTGGTCATATTCGCTCTTTGTTCATTATTATTATTATTACATAATTATAATTACGCCTAAGTACATTATTAATTTTAAATAATTAACTAAACTCATATCTAAAACCGAAAAAACAAAATTGTAACAAAAAACAAAAATTTTTATAAATAAATAACAAAATATAAAATTAAAAAAAATTAACAATTAATAAATTGTACAATAAATAACGCTAAAACACAGACAGTTGAGAAAAAATTTGGTAATTGGATTGTCAATGGGCCCATAGTCTGAATTAATATTTAATTACTTTTTTTCACTCATCAATTACAATAATAATAATAATAATAACAATAATTAATAAATATTCTCTATTAATTATTATGATTATTATTATTATTATTATTATTATTATTATTATTATTATTATCAATAAAATGCTCTTAATAATTATAAATGTTACTATCAATTATTAATAATCAATCTTAGTAATAATAATTTATTTGTTTCAATTATTATTATTATTATATATGTATCAATAATTTAAATAATTAACACGCTTGAAAAGAATAATATATATCAATATATCCGGAGAGAGGGTTGTATCTCGCCCCAATATGTATAAGACAAAATCGCTACGGCTTAGCGATAGTTAATCGTCGCTACAGGTACAGAGGTGGGTTCATTATATAATTAATAATTAATAAATACTTGTCGATTAATAATAATACACTGTAAAAAATTTACGGAGTTGATCATATTTTACTTGTTATTAAATATTCCGGAAAGGATTTAATTTATATTATTAATAAAAAAAACTTTGCCAAGTAAATTCTGTATTTTTAATAAAAAGTAATAAATGGTTATTTGAAATTTGATTCAGCAAAATTTCTAATCACTCCCAATTTTTTACAGTGTAATAATAAATAAATAAATTAACAAAGTAAAAATTAATTAATTAAAGTTACTTTGTTGATGTTTATTATTATTATTATTATTATTATTATTTGTTGTTTTAATTTAAAAATTACAAATTATTTGTAAAATAATAATAATAATAATAATAGCCGGTGGATAATTTCAAGTACGTAAGACTACGAAATGGATTTCTTGGATTTAGACTTACTGGTCGGTATGCCAGGAGGAACAGCGCCACCTATTATCTCAGTGGTGTCCTCCGCAGGACTTGGCGGTCCGCTGCCGAGTCTAGCGGCTCTACGAAAAATATCACTGTTTACGAATCTTGGATAAGAGTCGCGATGCATCAGAGTGTAGATCTGGAGTTGGGCTTCATCGAATGTGTGGGGTGTCGGCTCAATCATATTTCTATTGACAATTTCACGTACACGTGAATCTAAACTAACCTAGATGGTAACAAAATTTCATTATTTATTTCGGATAAATCGATAATAAATAATTATTTATTATTGGATTATTGATCGAATAATTGGGAAAAAAATAAAATGTGTTGACATGATATTCAGGTCAGTTAAATTATATTACTAATTAATTCATTTTTATTTGTAATAAATTTTATTGGACACAGAACATATTATTTTAAAAAACTTTAAAAATTTTTTCAAAATTTTTAACGAATTTTTATTCTTTAAATGTTCCAAAAGGTTCCCTTATCCACACATTAATTCTTCGCTGAAGTTCACATACCAGTCTTTCGCTCTTAGCGACGTGACACATTCTTAAAACTATCCAACAAACCATTATACAAGTAACTTAGTTTGTTCAAATCTGTTTTCAAATTAACAGTGTCATTCAAATAAATAAACACCATCTCACTAACACTTCTCTTAAGGTAATTGTCTTCCCTATCTAAAATAGAAACACTACTAAAGTCGAAATTATGTCCAGTATCGAAGTGATGCCGTGCTAACGCCGTCTGCTCACTCTTTAAGATGTTCACTGGTCGACAATCCAGACGATGTTGATTAGTTCTATTTTTTAAGTACTGTTTGATTTGTCCCACGTATTTCTTTCCACATTCACATGGTATAGCATAGACCAGCTCGGACATGAGATCTTCATTAACTTTGTCCTTTAGTCTCGTGTATATATTTCCAACTGTTTTGATGTTATAGTTAGCTGGTTTCCATTCAGTACCAACAAATGCCCTCAAGATATGTTGTGATAACCCTCTAACGTAGGGAAATTTGAAAAAATACTTGTTTTCGGACATTCTGACTCTGTCCTGGTTCTGTTTAAATTTATTTACACATATATCTATAAACTCAGGTGGATAGTTATTATTTTTAAGCATCTGCTTAACTAGTTTTATGTTCTCTTCATAAAAACTGTCGTGGCTGAGATTGATTGCCCGATGCAATAAGCCCAGAGCAACAGATGCTTTTTGAGATATTGGGTGGTTTGACATGAAATTAATTAGTCTCCCAGAACTCGTAGGCTTAGTGTACCAATTCGTTTGAAGACAGCCATCCATGCTCCTAACCACCATAACGTCCAGGAAAGGAAGACACCCATTGACTTCAACCTCCATCGTGAATTGAATTTTTTTATCAACGCTGTTGAAGTAGTTAAGAATATTATTAACTTCTTCCCTCGGGATCGCCATAAACATATCATCAACGTATAATCTCATGTATTTAACCACAAACGGTAGTACTTAAGACACTTTCTCTATGACATATTGCATCACGAAATTCGCTAACGCAGGGCTCGCTGGTCCCCCCATACTTGTTCCGTCTAGTTGAAGATAAAAAGCTTTTTCAAAGCTAAAATATCCAATATCAATGCAGCTATTCATCAGTCTACTAAACAATTCTTTTTCCATTTTAACAATGTCTGATAAGGAATCCCATTTTTCCTCGATAATCTTATTCACTAATCTTTTAGGTACGTTTGTGAAAAGAGAGACCACATCCAGCGATATCAAAATATAGTTCTCCGGCAACCTGGCATTCCTTATGAACCTGACAAACTCAGTGGAGTCCTTCACATTGATATTACTTGGACCAACTAATGGAGACAGTAATTGATGTATATATTTACCCAACTTATAACCTGGACCTTTGATGCTACTTACAACCGGTCTCAACTTACATCCTTCTTTGTGAACCTTGCGCAGTCCATAGATCCGTGGAGAGATAGCATTGTGGATCTTCAAAGCTTTGGCTCTAGTATTATCTATAGCTCCGCTTTTTTCAAGATCGTTCACCAGGTTATTCGCTACATTCTGGAACTTTTTTGTTGGATCCTTGTCTATTCTTTTGTACACTGTTTCATCACCAAGCATCAGATTCATTGTCTCGACATACTCATCCCTCTTCATCACAACCGTGCTGCCACCCTTATCAGCTCTCATTACAATCACATCTTTATTCTCTTTCAAGAATTGTTTAGTTCTAGAAATATCTCTTACCAAGGAAATCCATTTTTCTTCAATCAAATAGTCACTCCTATTATAGAAATTCGTGATCGAGTTAATCACTTTTAATCTATAATTATTCCTAACATTATCTACAACTTTAGGATCCGTATCATCAACGTTAATTCTTGAGATTCCATATTCTATATCTTTTATCAATGTAGGAATCGGTATTTCTTTTTTATTCAGTGGAATACCTACTTTCGGAGCAAGGTTAAATACTCTGGCACAATAATCCGGTAGTTGAAGGTCCGTAAAATTGTACAGTACGTTACATTGTTGTCCTTGAGCGATCACCTCATGACTATTTAATTGTAGTTTATTCAATTTCTTAACATTCACATCCCTAGTCTTGCAAAAATGCAAATTAAATCTACTCCGATCTCACAACTTCTAATATACACACTAGCTGGTAATACTTCCTGTAACCTTGATTTAATTTGACCAACTCGGTTTTCTAGCTTACAAAGTTTCCACAGCGTTATTCTTATTTCCAGCTTCAACGTAGACATTCTAAACTTGCTCATTATTTTCTCAGCTTCATTTATAAATGGATTGAACTCACATTGTAGTGACCAAATACATTTGAGGTTATTTTTAATGTGACTCGGTATCAACTGATTTACTTTGCATTTCAACAGAAAGATTTTTCTATTATATATGTTCGCTAGTTTCTTAGTAGTAGTTGCCCACTCTTTGACTAATAACCTGACCTTGTTGCCAAACTCCTGTGACAAGGTGTCAAAAAATCTTCTTGAATAATACATAATAAGTTCATTGGATCCTTATGATAGTATACTTGATAAATTTTAATTGGAGGTTATAGGATCATCAAATAAAACACCAGGAAATTTAATTATTTCTTGCAACTTTGTTATCATTTGCAAAGTCTATTTAAATAACTAATTGTGAATAGAAGTTATAAAATTGTTCATATTTCTGGAAAAATAAAGTTTTTAGTTCTACAATGACTGACTTAATGGAGTTGATTAGACATGAAGATATTGCAGCTAAACCTAAACCATTGCGAAGCTGCACATGATTGGCTTATGCAAACAGCAAGAGAACTAGAGTTAGACTTAGTAATGATAGCAAAGCCATACAGACACCTGAATACCCAGCCGTGGGAATCTGACAGCACCACCAAGGCTGTCATCTGGTCCTGTGGTAAGCATCCCTTCCAGAGTGTAGTTAACAATGATAATGGAGGCTTTGTAGCAGCAACAGTTAACGGCATCCGTTTCTACAGCTGTTATGCACTACCTAGCCTATCCATTGTTGAATTCACTGAATTCTTGGACAAACTGACCGAGGACGCCAAGCAGCATTATCCAGTCACGATTGCCGGTGACTTCAACTCCTGGGCAGTAAACTGGGGCAGCAAGCAGACCAATGCGCGAGGAAAAGCACTACTAGAAGCTTTTACTACACTAGATGTAGTCCAGCTCAACAGTGGTGATACTCCAACCTATACTAAAGGAGAAGCAAGCTCTATTGTAGATCTCACTTTCGTCAGCAGCAGCCTCATCAGTGGGAAATACGACTGGAAGGTGATGGATACCTACACAGCCAGCGACCACAAGGCAATTCTCTGGGAAATATCACATGACCGGAATACCAGAAGACCAATCAAGTTACTCAATACCATTGGATGGAAAATGAAGTCTTTTGACACAAGCACATTAGTAATAGCCCTGAATAGTGAACCGATTACTACTGGATCCGCAGAAGAAATGACCAAGGACCTGATAAAAAGAGTTGTCCAGGCCTGTGACGCAAGTATGGTCTGGAAACGCAGCATAAGCCAACGCCCGGCAGTACACTGGTGGAACGACCACATTAGCGTTATGACCCAGATTTTGGGTCAGGGACAGCAGGAAGAATAGGGCTTGGAAGATGGGACAAGGAGGAGAAGGACAGCAGCTAACGACGCGACGGGCCGAATTTTCGTCCATTTAAATTGTTTAAATTTTGTATATAGTTTTGTTTATTGCGTTCAGTATTATTACTAATCATTATTATTATTATTATTGCGGTAAAACCGAGTATTATTTGCTTTAAAATTAGTATTAAGTAACTATGTATATATTTTGTTCAATTTTCTTTCTTTTTAAAATTAAATGTTCATTAAATTGATACAGCGTTTATATTATTATTATTATTATTAATTATTAATATTATTATTCATTTCTGTTAAAATAATTTTAAAGAAAGAAATTTAGTTAGTTCACCACCGCGCGACAGATGGCGTCGCGTGTCCGCTAGCAGTAAAAACCGCCGAGCTAATATAAGCGAAATCGTGGCACGATAATTTTTGTTCTTTCAAAGAACAAAAATCGACTTTACCAAAAATTAATAACTGATTAAATATTTCAAATAAAATTCGAAATATCCATTTAATAGTTTTTTTTTCTAAGTCCCAAAAATTATTTATATGGAAAATAATTTTTGGGAAATTTATTATTTTGTGAAAATTTAATTACGAAAATTATTCTAAGTCCCGAATAGAATTTATTATGGAAAAGCGACGAATGGATATATAATGAAAGAATTTGCAATTAATGATTCACAAAGAACAATATAATTTTGATAGGACCAGGTCACCGGAACTGCGGGACTCGATTGTCGTGGCTCAAATCTTGGCTCAAAGAATCACAATCACATAACTCCGAACTACCGATAAGGAACTCGAAATTAATAAGGAAAAGGTGACTAATTAATTTGATAATTGAAGTCTGCCTACACGTATCGGGGTGTAGGACTCACCCGGGCTCTAAGGCAGAACTGTTACCTTGTAAGTGATCTTACAGAAGCTTACAAAAAAATCGACCAATACTATAGAGTAAATTATACAAGATGTATTAGTGAACTTTACAATTTAACTATTGTAAGAATTTAGAGTCGGTTATTTCTAAAAGAAATTTAAGGGAGGAAGAGAGATAGAAGGTTGGACTCATTGGTACCTTTGCAGTAGCCGATAAAACAAATCGGAATTTTCGACGAGAAATCGAACCCAGAACTCTTAGTTGGTAGCCAGAGACTCTCCCTCTACGCTATTCAAGGTAAACTACTACGGATATCCTTTGTAACGTTACATTTTATGTAGCGTTACAGTAGTGGTGTATTTGTGTGATATCGTGAGTTTTTGGTGTATAAAGTACGGTAATGTCGTAGTATCAAGAACTATCGAAAGAGTGTGCTTGTGAGAGAGTTGTCTCGAGGATGTCGAGCTGCACTGCGGAAAAGTAACCGATGTAACGTGTCTCCCGGTCAGTTACCGATGACTGAACTTAGGTTCAGCCTCTTGGAGCGAGGTGATTATCGCGGAGGAGCGACTGAAATGTCGTCGCCCCAGAGTACGGGAGTTTGACAGGCTCATGCGGTAGCTTGCGGTTGACAGGCCTCGATTGCTGGAGGCTCGAGGGTAGTCGCGAGTACTGTCAAGGCTCCCAGGGGAGCGGAATCACTGGTAGGTCTGGGACACTAGTTGTGTGAGTGGGGATGAGTGTGAAGTTTGTATGTCTGGGGGTAGCGTGAAAATGAGTTGAGCATATGTAACTGGTAGCATGGATGTAGAGGGGCTACGGAGAGGGACAGTTTGGTTGGAGTAGTGAAACAGTGAGGATTGTTTTGTGTGGAAATCTGGATTTATAGGAGAGTCTTGTGGAGGTCCTCGTAGAGGACGGACGTACCGTCGCTGCTAGGCAGCGTTAGTTATGTACCGTAAAAAGAGTCAGTTACGAGCTCTCGTAGAGTGAGCATCGCGTTGGAGAGTTAAGTTAGCCTCTCGTATCGGAGCTGGCGTGCCTCACGCTTGCTATTACCGGAGATGAATGGCCCAAGCCATTGTCTTTGTTTCGTGTTCGTTTGGGACTGTTTCCGCGATATTTTTAATATCGATTTATTTTATTTTACCGATTAATAAGGTTGAGTGTTAGTTTGAGAGTACCGATTAGTGTACTAGATACCGTTTAGTCCCGTTTTATAAGAAAATTACTTCCTCTGAAAGACCGAATCACGACCCTATCTCCATAACCTGCATAACTGAGCAACACCGAGGTATTCCGTTACCGTCGAGGCTGCTCTTGGTCTTCTGGGAACATAAAAATTAAGTTATCGTATCCCGGTTGCCGATACCGGTAAAACAAAAGTCGGCTGGCGCCTGTCGGGGTTCCTGGAGGATCGAGAGGTGGCTGAGATGGACGGAGTGTAACGTAGTGAATTATCGTTTGCCGTGAAGATCTACCACGTGACAAAGAGCTACGTTACACCTTCAACATTTACATAAACTCTGAGTCTAGTGCTGTGCATGGCCAAAACTCGCACTAACTAAAAAATATTTCAATTCAACTATTGTAAAATTTATTACTTTTATTGGAAAGATCGAAAGCAGCACTGGAAATTTTCGACTAAAATATTTGGAAGTTACCGGTAATATATGTATAGTCCAGCATTACGATAATTGTTTCGGAAATTTTTTGCTGTGTATAAGAATAGAACCTGTATGAAAAATAAGAAAGTTTTTATATTCTTTTGTTGATTTATGTGTTTATTAGGACAAACTTTTACACAATAGAAAAGAACAAATTTTAAAACATGCAACATGCATTATTTATAATGTATAAGCATAGTATATTATATACCTAGGGCAGGAAAGTAATAAATGTCTCAGATAACATGTTATTGTTGGCCGAAGCGAAGCCAAGGTCGACAAACATGTGATCTGAGGCTTTCTTATTTACTGCCTATAATGTGTGTACTATTTTTCTCTTCGATGGGGGTAAAAAGTGGCATTTTCATTCAGCGCAGTGGGACCAAAGTTGACGCTTTCTGCCCGGAGGGGAAAAAACAATAAAATTTACGGTATTATAATTAAATCAATGTAATTTTCCTTTAAGGAATACAGAATGCTCTCGTAGAATTGATTTCGTTGGTACTCGACAAAAATTTCGTATAACGTTACTTGTAGATTATCAAAGACTGAAGATAGTTAATTTCAGCAGCCTATATAATAAGCATCGGAATCAACAAGGTGGGAAAACATGTGTGGATAAAATAATAGATAACTGACAAATTTGATAATTTACGATAATATGATAAAATTAAGGTCATACAATAGTTTCCGAATGACAATACTCAATTATTCAAATAGCTACTGGAATTCGTAGGATTGTAGGTCACAAGAAAACACAAGTATCCGAGGGTGACACAATTATTCCAGAAAACGTATGGCATAAACAGATCAATTCAATTTAAATGACGAAATCATTAAAGGTGTTTTCTACTGCTGGTAGCAACAAAAGTACATACAGTTAAAAAAATAAGAAAAGTAAAGTAAAATTAAAAATAAATCTATAATATCTCAATAAATAAGCTAGTTATATTGAAACACAATAGTTGTTATATATTTTAAGTTGAGAAGTAACATACACAAATAAAAATTTTAACTTTAGCAGACGTCACCGCATAAAAAAGTTTCACAGTCGAGATCAGAAAACTAGACACTTGAAGTTACAATTCCCTCTCCTGTATTTTTTGTTCTACACTTTTCCTCCTAATTGTCCCTTGTTAAACATCACCCAGAAATTTGGAATTTTTTTTAATATCCTTCGATTTTTATAAGTAGTGTGTAGAAATTTTCTGATGGGTTTTTGAACATTTAATCACCTCGATCCTCTCATAACCATCCTGCACTCTGATTTTTTATAATGTTTTTCTGTTTACTACGATGATTACTCGTATTTGTCTAAATCTATTGCTAAAATCT